CCTAGCATATGAGCAGAAGAAATTGTAAAGCAAATCAACTAAATACAGGTTCAAGTCTAACGCACTGTCCAGAAATAGTTGACGCCATTGTTATGCAGTTGTAAATGTTATCATCTTTGGTAGCGTAAGTACTAAGATCTCAAATGTTTTTAGCAATGAAATTACAAACGACCAAATTTATTCGCTTAAGCTTAATTGGAGCTGTCAGATATGAGTAAGGTTGAGATTGATAATGAGAGATAGTATGTCTCAATAAATGGTCAACATTAAACGATGCATGATCACTTCTTCTGCGTACCTTTTAAGTTATCACCACTCAATAATCGAGAACATAGATCGTGTTACTTAACCCACTCAAGTGAATTACATCATCCAGAATCAACAGATAATAATAGGTGTACAAACATAGACAAACCAATGTAGAATATAGCACAGAAGTGGATAGGTCCAAGTTGCGACACTACGTTTGCACTCCCAGCAACTGTGTACATTCATGCCAAACCTGTTGTATGAGGGCCAATGATATTACTTGATTGCCCGAACCTCGATAGGTGGAGCGGGGTTCGAACCTATAGTCCACTGGTTGAAAGCCAACCTTCTAAACCACAGGGGAACGGCTTCATAGCAGCATGCAAAGCAAAGGTGTATGGAAGGAGAGTGAAGAGATAGGGGAGAATTAGTGAGAATGTTCGAATATGTTCAAGGGTGAGTATATCTGTACCATTGTGAGCGATTTTTAATCTCGCCACCAAGAGTTCTCAACTATTCATTTCTATTATCTCAAGGGCCCCAGCTAAGTAGATAATAACTATCTATACTGCTTAAACCAATAGTTAAATACTTCATGAATTTACATATGCTTGCTATGGATTTCCCGATCAAGTAAGAAGGATATTCACGACTAGTTGCTTTGTCTGCTATCAAAGTAGTAGTCAAATTTTAGAAATAAATTCTAAAACACTGGAAAATATTCAAAGATTTTATTTCCCGAAATAAACTGAGACAGTCATTCATGTAAACTGTGATCCCGAAATGCATAATGTTCTGAAATATAGGTATACAAGGCATTTTGAACAGACCAGACTAACCCAAGAATTCAGCCCTTTTCAGAAGTATCACCTTTGAGAAACTAAATTATCATCATGGTAGAGACAGTCATAGCGCAGCAATATCACCATCCACCAACAATTTTTTAAGTATTATTGGTGGGACCACTTGTTGAGGATACGCGGAAATGAACCTATTATAAAGAATTTGGGGGATCTATCCTATGCTACTGTTCGAGTGGTTAAGCAATGCAGTAAGCTGAAACTATGAGAAAACATACAACCACGATCAAACAGCTTTGTTAAGTATGTACAGATACAATAGTACTGTTTATAATCCATATCGCCCAGAGATGGTAGAGTTCCTTGAGACATTATGTGTAGATGAAGTAATGAAAATCGTTAATATCTTAAAGATCCAACGAAACTAAAGTGCCCCCTACAAGTACAAGAGCAACTTAACAATGAAGTCTACAAGCCTAGTGTGACGTAATCTACCTAACTTTAAGAACAGTACACTATATTCCGTGCTTTACTTCAAGAAGACGACACTTTAAGTTCAAAAAGATACCTTTAAAAACTAGACGCATACAGGCTCTGATGTTGGCAGACAGCTATTTTCCATAGAGGTGGACAATTTGAGTAAAGATTCCTCAGCATCTCACTTGGTCAAATGTGAAACACCTTAGGATTAAGTTGTCGACCAAGTTATGCCCTTTACATCATATAGGACTACATCCCACTGAGTTAACAACCTATACCTAGACATCATAGTATATATATATATATATATATATATATATATATATATATATATATATATATATATATATATATATATATATATATATATATATAACAACCGGTGTAACTTAAGTAAAGTATCGCTTGATACATGCAGTGTATAGAGACAGGATACTCATAAGGTAAGATTATTACAAGAGACGCGAAGTTAAACACTGAAAAACTTGAACAGGCAACAAACAAAGTTCTGAAAAGCCTTCTATATCTACTAGACATGTAACTATTCTACTACTTATTTTCCAAAACATAATCTTCATACAGCACCAGCACAAAGAGATGCACCCTACAAAATAAGATGTTCACACTAGTAAGACAAGAACGTGTTGTACAACGAAGAGAGAAAAAACTTGTTATGGAAGCAGTTTCAAAGGCATATCCAAAACAGCCCTCACTACTTACATCCTACCTTTCATCACTAGAAGAAACATGAGAACTGGGATATGGTAGCATTTATTTCTATTCCGAGCCTTGCCCACTATTGTCCTATGCCACTGAGCAGAGTAATCTCTTGAACCCCATTCAGTGAGTCATCACGCACCAGTAAATGCTAACCCAACTCTCTTTTATCCCAAGGCACCACGTCAAACAATCACCACCTCTAGGGTAGGCGAACAGTAACAGCATAGGAGCCGCTGAGGTAAAATTCGCAACATCCAAACCACTGGAGCTAGTGTTTTGATGACTATCAAATGAATGACATTCTTCACCACTGCCAAACACACGCCACCTCATGTCAGAACTATATGAGTAAAACTTGAACACTATGGTAGAGTGTGATTCCACATTAGGTTGTTTATTTGATACATCACAGTGATACATTATCATTTACTGGACGACGTTTTGGGCAAATTTATTGTTCATACCCAGATCAAAGCAATTATCGGGGTTTCAAGTTTCCTTCATAGAAACTAAGTTTGAAAGTCGTAAATAATACAATATCTCTGCGTGCAATATAAAACTTACAATCTAATATGGAACCACCTCAGAACTACTTATATGGTGTTCCCATCAAATACTACAGAGAAAACGGTGGACAAACATATGGAGTACAGGCAAAGGGTCCAACCAATCTTGTAGAAGCACTTCAATGTTCAAACATACCACATTTAAGGACACTATTCATTGACTGATTTAGTGCCACTTAAGTAACCTCTATGCTGACGCAAAGTGAGACGGTATCACTTGCATACTTGAGGTCGAAAAACCTATCACCTGGTAACTGGTCTGCACCGTTTCCACACATCATCACAACTACCTCGAGTGTTATCGACGGCAAAACCAAAGTGGGACTGCAATATCTGCTAACCCTGCCTAAATCCATTCTTAGTTTGGAACAACGACAGGTGAGGTAATACCCTGCTTCTCGTACTCTAGTAAACAATGTAGTCGGTTTCGACTCCAGCACTTGAAACTCTTTACGGAGTTCGACCGTTTGGTAGGTCGGTACCAACTCTTCACAATGTCTACAAAAGTTGCTGAACGACACACTATTTAGCTTCTGACGGTCAGTTGAAGTGCTACAGTTCCCAATTATTTCTAGTAGTCACTGTTCACACTTCACTGGTACTTTCTGAGCACCAAGCCCAGTGGTCCTCACAAATGCGTTGCGTGGTCTGCTACGTCCACCAAGTCGCTCGCTGTCTGCTAGGACATCACGACTTCGAAAACCATTTGCCTATTTGGAGGACGTCCAATGAGGTCGCTAGCAACTTTGCCTTTTGTGGTGTCTTGTATGTGCACCTAATACTGTCCTGAAGTTCTTTAGTTAGCCTTAAACTTAGCTCATTGTTGGTGCATTACGCCAACTCCTTTAGGGAGATAATTCTGAAGACCATCAAAACAAAACTAATTCAGTATACACGGAAGTAAGCCCAAACAGGTGAAGTGATACCTCTTAACGCAACTACAACACCAGCAGGTACTGGAACTGTGACCCATCTAAACTAAAGATAGGATACAGGGCAGCATACCGGAATTATTTGCGCTGGAAGCGGTTGCCGGTTAGAAACAGACAATTCGTACAAAAATGCGTGGAACGACCTGTCACCTTAATGACCGTCTTCTGAATTCAAATGCCCCCTACCTGCGCATTCAAATCCACAGCCAGCAGTACGTTTTACTGGGGCACTAGGTAGAGGTCATTCAACTGATGACAGAGCACATCCCTAAATACATCTCAGCTATGGTCAGAAATGACGGACGTACATTGCATCCCATTTCAGTTACTTCTCATACTAGTTGGAATTCCTAGCCTAACGTCACACAAATGACTGTTGGTTGAGACCTAGCCGATTAGTCAGCTTTAGCACTTAGTCCCACAATAGCAAAGTCGACTGGTGATGCAAAAGGGACGGTTAGGTTCATGTATTAACCTGAACTACGTTTAATAATAGACTGCTCATGTTAAAGCAGACCGGTCAGAACTCAGAAACCAGTGGTTGACAGCGTCTGCATTTAAACTGGTGCAGGATGGCAAATCGAAACGCAACCACAAACGTGGTGCCCGCGTATCAACGGAGCGAAAACAACCAACAGTTTACAATGATTGTGTCAACAAATGGATAACCCTCCAGTTGAATCGTTTCCACTGGTGAAAGCAGTAGATGCAAACATGTAACTAGATTAGTGGTAACAGGGATGCTCACTGTTACAAGCTAGACAATCAGCATATTTCTATTATCAAAACAAAGACAACTGATGACCACACCAGCATATCCGGACGAATGCAAGTTATTGGACCTACAATGTAGGAGCAAGCCGTGAGAACATGTAGAACGCCACCAATCCTAAGTGGAACATGGAGACTTTGTTGGGATGCCCAGGACCTCACATCTAGAACATGCCCATGAAACCACCTAAAAAAGGTGTAGAAATCTGTCTTTATGTACATTACTTAATTACTGATTCGATTAAATAATTCACCAAAGAAACGACACTAGTGAGAACTAAGACTTTAACAGTGCATGTCAATAACAGAAATGGATACTTTGTGGAAACTAACTCTATCACAGAAGTGAGATTACCAAGGTGAATTAGTCCAAAGATGCTTAATAGTACTTCTTTTACTTCAATCTGAGTCTCTTAACGGGTATCAAGCTCTAAGTACCGCACCTTACACCCAGGTTTTATACACTCCACTAAAATACTAACTGGAAAGTTTCCACATATTTACTGCAGCTGAGTATTCAGGTAAAATGATGTATTAAAACAATGAACCAATGAAACATTTATTTGAGAATGGTTATTCTGCTGCAGCTGACTGGCGAGCCTTCAAACGTTTGCCATATAGCCGGGCATTGGCTCTGTGTTGACGAATAGCATGGAAAGCTTGGTACTTCAGCTCAGATGGAGTTGGTTCATGGGCCTTCAAATGTTTCTTTCTTTGAGTTATCGGGAATATTGGTCGACGAAGTTGAGTTGCTTTCTTAACATCATCGGCCTGCCAAATTATACAGAAAGCAAAACATTCCAAGTTAAGAAGTTCATATTGCAACGTACTCATGATTCTATTACTACTATTTAGGTCAATGATAAAATAATTATAACCATCCATCTAACCTGCTTCTTGATATCTGAACCACGCAAAAAAGTGAAACTCCGTAAATTCGTGCATACTTTTTGGAGTTACACCCAATATGCGGAACAGCATTGTTGTTTGGACGTACAGGTATACGCATGCAGTTTGGTAAGAACCATAAGGTGCTGGTAATGTATGTAAAACAAGGGGCAGTGTGAGTGAAGTTCGAAAAAAACTAGGACGGTTTATAATCTGGAAGAGGATGCATCGACCAGATCTTCACCCTTTCACATGTTTCGAAACACACACGCCAGCGGTCGACACTTGACATGAAGGTGGTATTCTATCTTGTTAACCGTGAGGTGTTTTGGATGTGTCTGGCTGTGAAAGGAGTAGCTAGCAAGCGGGCAGCTGTGTTATGGTTCAGGGGAAACTGTCTTCCAAACTGACGAAAAATAGTGGTGTCCATCAAGTATACTTACTGTCGCCATTCTTGTTCAACTTCATATGCAGAAACGGAAGTAGCCCTAGGTATCTCTGACTTCATAAGGACTGACACTCCCTGGATGGCATCTCGTTAAGTTGGAATAACGCAAAGCTTTGTTAGGCGAAGAATTTGAAGAGTAGTTTTTTAAACGCCTTAAGCATACACACTGTATGACGGATGTAAGATGGTCCTGTGAGACTGGTCTCGAGTTACTCCAAGTTTAAGGATAAAGACAGGTAACAGAACGCCTTGATCACTCAACTTACTTGGAGAGTTGTGTTAGTCTAAAAGGACTAGTTGGCGAAATCATAGCTGGGACACAGCTCGTTTGGGATTGAGTCACTTCGCACCATCTACATATATTCAATTAACTGTTAAAAGTTGCGTGCACTGCCTTATTATTATACGACTGGGACAGTTGTTGAAAGATGAGCAGAGATTACAAGTTTATGAATAAGTGTCACCATAGCATTGCTCGTTTATGACGTAGCCACCGGGGACAGGAAGGAAGACATTTAATGATATTGTGAACCCCCACCGACCACGTGACTTGGACGCGTTGCGCATGTCAAACCATCGCCTACCTCGACATGCAATGTTGGCTGAAGGTAGGTTGGAGAGGTCTGACAAAGGGCGACAAGTTTAGGACTTGCGGAAATTATACTTTCATTAGATGTTTAACTTGTCGAAACCACGAAACTTTGTGTCAGTCTGCATTCGCAATATTAAAGCTGAAAGTGAAAAGATGAGTGAACCCCAGTAGCAACTATAACTGGAAGGGCATATTATAGGTCTAAATTGATAAAAAGAAAGCACATTTTACTGAAAAATCTCCAATGGAAAAAAAACAGTTCAGGGTTCATCATTTCGTGAAACGAAGTATGGCATCATATGATTTCCGTGATTCATTAGAGGTGTGCCATAGAAGTTATAACTAAGACATTCTTTTTCAACGAACCTCATCGGAAAAACCAACGCCACAGAAGCAAAACTGAACAGTTTACTATATCTATAAATCCATAAAACCATGTAACCAACGATATAAGCATCGTAGTAGTTGGAATTAAAATTACTCAACGAATAACTGCACAAACTACCTAGTATAATAAGCAGCTCCGTGCTTTCCTTTAGATCTCAACCATTAAATTATGAGCCGAAAATATTTAATATATGCGGCAATGAATTGCCCTCACTTGCTTCATACAAGGAATATACATTAGGACCACTAGCACTCCAAGTTCGTCATTACTGCACAACCCATTTGATTGCAGTACATGAAGAGTCTACCTTTTAGACACGCGAAACCTTTTTAATTATTATTACGAAACTCTTATCCAAATACTGAGAACACTGCCAACAGTGGGAAAATTCTTGCCTTATAAAATAGGCAAAGACAAAAGTGATGCAGAATACACCACAGCCAACCGAATAGCATTACTTTCGAAAGAATGCAAGTAACAACTTCCTGGAATGTATGTCGATGAACTAAACGTTGAGCCAGTGATACTATTCGGTCGCCTAAATCGAAGTAGTGTGCAAACAAACGACTCTTAACTTGAGTCGATTTTTTGTCTATATCAACATGCCCAAAATGTGGTTGGACTGTTAGAAATGAGTAAACTGTTAGCAAATTCCAACAGTTTGCAAGTATTTCCGCATGTAGTCATGTGCCTAACAATGGAACAAAACCGAATGTGGTTAAACAGCAACACTGCAGTGTCGGAAACTAGTCCAAAGAGTACCATAAAAAATAGCACTTACCTTTGCTTCCATAGCCTGGGGCTTGGCTGGATTCAAGGGGAAAAGTATTAGTCTGGCTTTGTAGGCCTTGAGCCTCGCAACGTTCCTCTGCAGACCTTCGACTGATACATTGCGTCTGCGGTGGTCTACAGCAATACCAATTGTACGGGCGAACTTGGGATTCAGACCAGCAGCACGCACTTCCTGAAGTGAGAAACCACGTCCCGCCCTCACCTTCATATTATACCGGAAAGTTGGACAGTTAACTATGGGACGAAGTGGCCCCGAAGCTGGTCTAGGTGCAATACGTTGTGCTTTTGCTTTTCTGGCACGCCTCCTACGTTCTTTGCGAGCTGGTTGGTTAAACCATGTTTTTACCATAAATTGCCATTTTTTTCTGAAGTGATTACTGTGGAGAACATCATTTCCGTGAACCATTGTTACAAGCTAAGCACCCACGAGGGTTTACTCTTGCTCTTGTTACACCGCCAACTATTTGCGGTGATTAAAACAAACTTGACGAACAATCAGAAATTCATCTTTTGAATTCGTAAGTGTTGAAGTTGTTTTGTACGCTACCCTTCTTCACACAAAAGAAAGTTACTCACTGATATCTAAGTAAAGTAATGTGAACTGCTAGAGATTCTACAAACGACAGTAACCTCTTAGCACATGTCGAGCATAAGTGGTACTCGTCAGTTGCCTGTAATCTGCAGCGTTGCAACACATCATTCTTTCCAAAGGTGCGAACCTCAATGTTTCTGGTGGTAACTACGTCCAGAATCTTCTAAAACAATACAGCCTTTTGACTTTGTTGTTTATTTTGTCGATATTGCATGCTACTGAGTTTTTTACTTTGAGGTTGACATTACGAATGAATTTTGCTTGTTTGCAATGTTTTTTGATAAGAGTTGCCTGGTTGGAACTTCTGAAGTGGATTGCATGATGAATACATTTTCGACCATTTTTACTTGCCACAAAAATCCATAGTAATGGGGTATCCATAACCGAAATATTTTACCGTAGGAACGGAGTACAGCTGTTCATCGGGTGCTTGTTCCTTGTTGCTGGAAAAAGCTATCCAGTTGGGAATATCACAGCCCAAATCTAGGCCCTGAGAAGCCTGAAGGGAAGATTCTATGCGATAAGAATGCGGTACCATTAAACCCATGATCCGTGGGTCAATGGATAGCTTCTTGAGTATACCCCATCAGTACGACAGAATTCTGATTGAGTATCAAAACGTCTCTTAAAAGCATCACGTGAAAGAGTTATAGTACCTTCACTTAGGGAATTCCCTTATTTGGAGATCCCAGCTACAAATGAATTAGCAAAGAACTTCCCTTATCACCTATCATCCTCTAGTAGTAAAGAATGAGCCTCAAGATGAGGTTTTTGCATAAGGACTGAAAGCAAATTGTTTACACGGAAGGGGCAGTGCACGATGGAATACATGGTGACACTATCCCTTTCAATCAGTCTCATTTCGATGGTCTCAGCTTAACAGTGTATTAGATATTCAATGAAGTCCTACAGCATCGTCGGGTCGAATTTTTAGTGGCTGTTGATTGGGATCACTTAAAGGATTGCAATGTCTCCCTGAAAAGAAGGGGACAAGATGGAGAATTTCTTTTCCAGTTGAGCAAGAATATGTAGTCTATACACAGCAGTGAACAGGCCTAGCGTTAATCTTCCTCCATTTCGAGGGAAAACCCACAAAACTAAACATGACTTGTCTGATGCAGGACAAAAGTTGAGAGAGGGTCTGAGCGTGCCACTAAGGTTAGCTCTAGGATCTTTCCAAGCGTTATGGTGTGAGGCATTAGTTTCCCCCCAGTTACTATGCCTTAGAATTTTCTCATACTATCACTGTCTGACACTTTTCTACTTTGAAGGAGAGCAAGTTACCACTCAACAGATTCTGGGCTTTCTGAAGCTCCTCCAAGGAGGCAGGGATATCCATTGTCACCGCCTATTTCCCTCCAAACCTCCAGATCCAACTCACCTACTTTTCCCTGGTGAGTTCGTCTCTCCGCGGTTCACCTGAGGTGCTTCACACAGATGTGCTCAGTAGTTGATTCTGTCTCATTTCATTGTAAATATGCACCAACTGTACGCATTCTTGTGATGTATCTAGTCAGCAGTACGGTAAGTCATCTCCCATCCATCCAAAGTTGATCTTGAACGCCGTTTGAGCTTCTTCCCGTCAGACTAGCGTCAGAACAGTGCACGCTTTGTTTTTAAGTGGCGATACCGGAAATGCGTTTTTACCAATCAATCAAAATATCTTTCCGTCTGGCAGTTCTCTTCTAGCATCCAGATTGAATAATTCGTTGAAATCGTCACTTGTCCCACCCTCCGAAGTTTGCTTTTTATAGCTCCTGACCAGTGGTCACTTTGACAAAGGTGACCTGGATATTCAGGCATTACAGAAAACCAGTGCATGGCCATATAGTGGGATTCGAATGACTGTTACTGAGATTGGAGTGTAGGCGTATTGTTACTCACAAGACTAGTAAACAGTGCCCACTGCCTGATATACGATGACTCATATAGCCTTCGCAGCTCATGATGCAGCGACCATAGAGTCCTATCGGCTGTTCGCAGCTCAGGATTTTAGCTACCTTTATACGATGCACGGAGCTTTCCATGAACCGAAGGTTACGTACTCGGACAGTGGTCCGTGGGGATTTGTAAATGTTTAAGGCAACTGTTAATAAGGCTTAGAATTATTAATTGAACCGCCCACAACCTCAGATTGCCTTAAAGAGATTTCATCACCCCTCAGAATGCCCGATGGTGTGCAGCCATCGTCAGTAGATGGATCGAGTACAGGATCGTGAGCTCTTGCAGTGAGCACTGTGCCACTTGGTCATCGGGTTGGAATTAGATTGCCCGCATCCTCTCTCAGGGAGCCACCACCCCTCAATGTCTTTAAAGAGAAACAGTCATCGTTGCTGATTTCCGTCACCACCCGGGCCACCGTTTCTCATGGAGGTTGTCGCAGGTGATATCTACATATGATGATAAGAATGTTGAGGGCTATTGTCAAGGGGACTTTCAGTTATAGGTAATTGACAATGCAAGTGCCTAATGTCCCCTGTTGACCCTCAAACAGCCCGTGCTTAATCCACAAAATACACATCCTAACCGTCGCCTGTGGATGAACTTCTAGCGATCAGGGCACCTCTTTCAGTGTGGTAAGGCCAAAACGTCTTGCATGCCAAGCAGCAAGTGTACATATGTCTTGTGCAGTGAGAGAAAGAGCTCAGGGATGAAAGTATTTAGGGGCCCGTGGGCCAGGTTAAGTACTGCGTGAGCCATGTTATTGTTTCAAAGGTCTTTGAGCTGGTGCTAAGGCTTTTTATCAAAAGTAAATCCGGGTGTAGCTCATTAACTATGCAGCCTTTATAAGCGGCGCAAACATATTGGGGAAGTCTCTGTGGTGCATGGATGTGTAAGAACAAAATCGTACACTCGTCAGTCAAACACCGGCCCATTATTCCGGCGTGACAAATATAACATCCAGGCTTTATTCTGCCTCATGCGCAAGTCCTTCCACGACCCACAGATTTGTGCTGCTTTGAGTCTTTTGTAGACGAAAATAATCGAGATCTCAGACATTCAATAAGGCGAGAAAGTCAAGTTCCCCAGGACGGCTCACTGTAAGATTCCGAAAAATGACATCCTCCAGGGCGTGCATGGCCCATTGACCCTAGTGCCCAATTCATCATGCAAGAGGCTGTCTTGTAGCCGGGATAGCCACCAGTTTCTAATGACCAGCTGGCTGGTTCTGACAAGAGGAATAATGTCAAAAGGTGCCACTAGTTTCACCGAAGTTTAGAGTCATTGAGTAGACAGGAACCTCTAGATTTCGTCAGTTTTTCTGATCACTAAAAACTGTTAAAAGGGTAAAAGCTTCCGGGAACACTCTACTGCCCCCTACAAATTCCTAGATATGATTATTCGTCAAGCTTTGCAATACCAGCGTCATGGCAGGCAATGCTGTAGGTGGACGGCATTTGGAATTCTTTGAAATCTCTCCAATGAGCATACCTTCAGTCCAACCAAAACCGTTCATCTCTATTTCCTGTTGGAATAAACTTCAGATTTGGTGCTGAAATATTCAGAGAATGTTGCAGAACAGAGAGCTAAATTTAATCATGTTCTAGGAATTCACCCATGAACGGCTTTGAACAGTTTCTCAAAACTAAATGCAGATCTTGCACATCGACTAACATACAGGAATTCTTTAACTCTCAGCACGCATGTTTAATTGGTGGGCTATTGACTTGTCCACGAAAGTAAGGGGAGAACTTTGGGTATGCCTTTGATATTCAGCACGAACTTCCGATAATGCATACTTAGAAGTTGTTCAGATACAAAGCACAAACACCGATTTGTATGACGCACTTGAAACGAAAAATTGTATGGCAGAGGAATAACAGTTTTGTGAAGAGATAAGAGATGGTGTTTTTTCATGGTAGGAAACCCCATTTCGTCAGACAAAATCGAACTTTTGGAACGCTTTTCTGGCTATACGCATCTGACTACCACTAATCATTAACATACCTCTCGACTCAAGAAAACCAGTAGTATTATTTCTTTGAACCTAACAACCCACTTCCTATCATTGGTTCTTCGTTGCTCCAACTACTCGACTCCCTTGGCTTTTGATCGTTCTCGGGAGCCGCTTCCGAGGAGACATCTTTCTGGGCTTTACGCACACGCATGGGGCTTCCGGTTAAGCTCGTCGATCAAGCGCAGAGGATCAAGTGTCTGAAGATAAGCTAACGTAAATCCGTTTGCCATTCTATGTTCCATCATTTTACCGCCTTCAATCTTTGATCTCTATGCCAATGTTAACCTCATTTTTGCAATACTATCATCGAATTCCGAAATGGTTGGTCTGAGGTACTGACGTATTTGACGCGATCCTACAGTAGGGGGGAGAATGACTGTCGAGACAACACTTCTAATCGCATTCGCAGTCGATTAAAGGTAGATCAAAATTAATATCTCTCGCAAAAGGAATCACCTCCTGTTCCTAGGGTGCTTATAGCAACCACACAGATGACATGTAGTAGCCCCAGTATGGTACAAGGTCGTTCCAGACTTTGTGAAAATCCGATCATGCCTAAGAAGGGGAAACGAAATGACCAGCACAGAAACAGGATTACCACAAGCAGTTTACTACAGACTGCATCGCCCTGTCTGAGGAAGAGAGGTAACACCATGACGTGTGATGACCACAGTATCTGCATTGAAGTCTTGCTTGTAGTCAGAGACATTTACATGCAACTTATATCAGCGGTGGTTACAATGCCACTGACAGCAAGGTGACTCAGCAGTACTATAAGTCCAAGGGGAAAAAACTATGCAAAAGGTTGGGGTGCATCTACCAAGAATGCAGAAAGCTCCCTGCAATCCACATAAAGGACCTACGGGAGCTGCTCTCCACCACACTAAGGATATCAACCTTGAGGAAAACGTGGGGACGAAGT